CTCTAACGTAAATGCGTTTTTTAGTTCAATTTCAGAATAACAAAAAATCTATATTTTTATGGGACAATAAATGAATGATTACATATCTCTTCTTGTCCAAAAAAAAATTTTCCCACCGAGACATTGTGTCTCACACCTCCACACACTGTCTTTTTTATTCATTTATGGCTCCACTCCCCCTCGGTGGGTATATAAAAAAAACCAAAAACCCACTCCAATATAGAGAGATATCCATATTTCTATATATATTTACATGTTTCCCCCTCCCCCTCTGTCTTTTCAACCTCTCCTCCTTCTGCTCGTGCGTTCGAAATGTTTTTATATTCACACTCATATTTTGTCAAAATGTAATATTTTATATATATAGATATATATATATATATATATATATATATATATATATATATATATATATATATATATATATATGGGCCAAAAAACACGTATTATGATTATCTTGCTTTAAAATGCTGAGCTCGAATGGGATAAAACGGGTATAAAAGTGATAATATTCTATATAATCTAGAAGATTCCACTTCCACTGAATTTGAAACCGCAAGGGTAGACGTGTAAAAAAATTTATAGTTGAGGGGTGGCTGTAATTACCAAGACAGAAGGGGATTTTCGTAATTTGACCGAATGGGAGGGATTGTAATTTACCCTATTTTTTATTAGACTATTCTCATGGCCTCCTCAAACTCATTGTTTGTGTTAGATTTTAACCCCTCTCCAAATTTTTCGAATAAAGACTGGTGCTGTAGTGGTGAATTGTGCGGCTCTTTGTCACTATTTCTTATTTCTTTGTATTAAAATATGATTATTTTAAATATTTTTTTTGTATTAAAAATGAAATAATTTTGTTGATCTCGTAAAAAAATTCCTTTTACATTCAATTATTATTTACTTAAAAACTAATTTTAAAATATGTTATGAGGTTATTAATATTTATGTTATCAATAAATAAATCATAATTTTTATCAACTACAAAAAAAAAATCCCTATACTTCAGCTTTATTATTAGATGCTATAATTGATCCATCATCAATATTAAGTTTCCCATCTGGAATCGCAAACAGTACCACGCGCTTCGAAGGTCGTACGAAAGGAGCATCACATTTGTAATAACCTCTTCTCTCCAGCTGCATTACATCTCCACGCTTCAAATTCCGCGTATCCGATTCCCCCACTGCTAATGTTTCGGTTCTCGTACGTGGATTCACCCACGGAATACAATCTTCCTTTTTTTCCGGACTTCAGTCGATCCAACTGCAATTATTTCAACAATAAAATAAGCTAATCGAAAAAAATATAACAAAACGAAACGAAAAAAAAAACAATGCATCACCTTAGGCTTTGTAATTAGATAACCAAAGTCGACCAGCGTAAGTCTCACAAGCTCAGTCGAATCAGCCAACCATGTAAGCTTCATCATCTTCGTCTGCTTAACGCTTCCTTCGAGATGCAAAACTCCCACTAGTTGAGTAACATTACCATTTTCGCCCCTCTTGATCTCTTTAATTACCCCATTACTCCAATCCTTTAAGGTTACTTCATCGTTCACCGAGACTAATTCAGCATCTGAATAATCTATCCATAACCTATTTGAGTACGTCACACCTCTCTCTCTAGCACCTTCGTATTTCTTGTGTTTCGGTAAAATCCGGACAAAGGGTACTTTCGGTCCATCGGTTAGAGTTAGCAACACGCGCTTGTCTTCAATAACGGAAGTATACCGTGGGCACACAGGATCTATAATCTTCTTATTGATCGCCCACAGCTTATCCCACTTCAAAAGATTGACATTCTTCGTTGCGCCCTAAAAGAGAAAAAAAATATTTTGATTCGTTATATTATAATGATCAAACTCTCGTTTATTAGCAAATATATATATAAGATATACGCAACTTACGTGTTCCGTAATGAACTGCTTCAATGCTTCAATCTTGAGACCCCTCCGAACTATTCCTTGTACAGTAGGAAAACGAGGATCGTCCCAACCTTCGACTTTTCCGTCCAGAACAAACCACAGCAAATGGCGCTTACTCAAGAGTGTGTACACCATATTCAACCGACTGAATTCGTCCAAATGGACCTTCCTCAAACCCATATCTGTCTGAATTCTTGAATACTGTCCATTACGGTCACGGTACTCGCTCGATCTAAGTGCATGAGTGATACCTTCCACAGCATCAACAAACGGACAACAAAAGTCATACGTTGGGTACACCTTATAGTTCGAACTAACCCTATGGTGAGGAGTCGAGTTGCAGCAGTAATAAACAGGGTCCCTAACCAACTTGTTCGGGTCCCCCATGTCCAGCTTACCGCGCACACAGCAGATCAAACCCCTTTTCGATCCAGCTATCATTTCCTTCCATAAGTTAAAATTCTCCTCCACACTGTTATTCCTGCACTTCGACTCTATACCTTCAAACCTTTTGCCTTTAATTTGCTTGAATGGAGTGTCGTCAACATAGGCTTTACCCTCAAGAATCAATCTTTGTGCCATTGTCATTAGCTGTGGGAAGTAGTCCGACGTGTACGTCACGGTACTATATTTTAATCCCCAGATTTTCGATATCGTTCAGAATATTATCCACAAACTCGTTACTTTCTTTATCAGGGTTTGTGTCGTCAAATCTTATAATCAATTGCCCTTTGTACAGATCTGCGAAATACTGGTTCAATAATGCAGCTTTGGCGTGGCCGATACTGGCTCAAAAGCATTCTCCTTCTGTGAATGTTTTCTGCGGCTCATGGGAAATTGCCAAATCACATCCTCAGGACCTGAATGCTCTTTTGAGTAAGGTATGATTCTACCAGAATTGTCATTTTAATGTCATTGGCAGAGCTTATCAACAAGAGAGCGAGAATTTTCTTGTTTGGTTGTTGGATGTAGAATAACAAATGCGGGCTTGATCCTCCCCAAGATTTTTACGAGCAAGAAACTGATTCTTCATTGGTCGTGGGTTTTGCACCGGATTTTTTTTTTCAAGTTGATTAACTGATACTTCGTCGATGATGGGTTTTTGCACCAGAGGCGGTTTCTTTTAAAAAAACCTTCACACCCATAGAAATTATAATAGTCATTTTTTGGTTTATAGAACAATTAAAAAAATATATAAAAAATTTAGCAGAATCTTAAGTTACAAATACAGGAGAGTTCTTGCCGGAGAGAACATAACAAAATCTTTTACCTGACAAATAATACTGCCATGATAAATCACAGTGACTGGCCAGCATGAAAAGCTTCTAAACCAGCATCGGTTCCAATCCAAGTGAACCCCGTTCCTTTCGATATTCCTCTCGCTTTCATCAACTCCCTCAATTGGCTCACACTATCCCATTTCCCAGCATCTGCTAACGCGTTCGACAAAGCAACATACGCTCCAGGCCTACTCTCTCCACTCACTTTGAAAAGCTCGTTCGCTGCTATTTTCGCGAGCTCCACATCGCCATGGAGTCTGCAAGAACTCAGCAAAGCCGCCCAAACGTCGGAATTAGGCCTTTCGGACATTTGCATCACGAATTGAAGCGCCTGGTTCAAACTCCCCGCACGCCCTAATAGATCTACCATGCATGCGTAGTGCTCCAGGCTTCATCGAGTAAACCCGATCCATGCACTCGAATATCTTCCTCCCTTTGGCAACTAATCCTGCATGGGCACATGCAGAGAGTGCACCGAGAAAAGTAACGTAATTTGGTTTAGTGTGACGTTCGCTTATCATTCTATCGAAGAGTTCGAGCGATTCGTTTGGACACCCGTTTTTCCCGTATCCATCAATCATTGAAGTCCACGAATAGACGTTCTTTCTCGGCATGGAATCAAAAATGGATCTTGCATCATCGGTTCTCCCACATTTGGAGTACATGTCTATCAGAGCACTGCCAATCTTTATGTCTGTGAAAAGCTCGGTTTTCATTAACTGCCCTTGGATCTGCTGGCCGATTTCGAACGCTGACAAAAGAGAACAAGCACCGATAATACTTGCAAAAGTAGATATCGTAGGCCTGAAATTTAGGCTCTGCATATCGATGAATAAATGTATCGCCTTCTTAGCCGTCTCGACTGATTTACTGTATCCTTCGATCATGGCATTGTAAACCACCACATCCTTCTCCACAGTCTTGTGAAATACATCCTCGGCATCTTCCAAACGGCCTTGGTTCATGTACCCTGTGATCATCGATGTTGAACAAATCACATTCTGGTCCAACATTAAATCGAACACTCTTCTTGCGTACTCAACCCTCCCACTCTTCACATACGAGTCAACCAATGCGGTGTAAAGCACATCATCACCTTCAACATTGGATTTCAATATCTGGGCATGAACCTCACGCCCCGTAAAAGGTAAACGTGACCCTGCATTTCCGCTAGTCGAACCCTTCAAAATCATCGAAAATGTGTATCCGTCGGGCTTTTCATTCGAGAGGCACAGTTCTCGAACCAAATCGAAAGATTTATCGACAAACCCGTGTTTTGTATAGCCCGATATCATGTAATTGTAGGCCGATAAAGTTCGGCGAGGCAATTCATCAAACACCTGGCGCGCGTCTGATAAACAGGAGGACTTGACGTACATGATGAGGAGTTTGATGGAGATATTGACATTGGGTTTGATACCAGCTTTGAGTATGAGGGGATGGATCTTTCGGCCGTGTGAGGGATGATCTGAGTTTATGTAATTCTGAAGAGCTGATGCCACAGAAAACTCAGTTACAGAGCTAACCTCTGTAAGCGGGAAATTCGTATTGGGTTGGTCTACAACTCTGATTTTGCTTAATATTCCATGTCTCATCGTCTTCTTCCCATTTGGTATCAAAGAATCATAGTTTCAACTGTAATTTCAAGAACTCAACGAGTGAATGAATTTTTTTCCTTTTTTTTTTTTTTTTTTTTCTTCCTTCCTTCTTCTGGGCTCTCTCACATTAATTCGAGAAAGGGCTTATCATGGGCTGCAATGAATCCAATAGCAAAGAACATTGGGCTAAGACCTAATACGGACTTGGCCCAATAAATAAAATTAAAGATCGAATCGAAATTAGTATTTTATTTTTAAATTGCAATTATTTTTCGCGAAATGAAAAAAATATGTATACTACTCAGGGGTGGAAATTGATACCAATTTTTTTTTGTTTTTGCCGATGTTGATCTAACATTTTCTGATTTTAGAATAATATTTTTCAATCCGAATTCTGAAATTCCGAGTTCCGATTTTTCAATATTTTTCCGAAAAGGTTTTTTTATTTATTTATATATTTTATAGTTAATTAAATAATTTTGAGATCATGTAATTAGGTAGATCAACATTTAAGGCACGCTGATAAACTATTCACTCGCTTGTCTTGTTCCTTTCATTTACTCTTCTTACATCAGACAAAAACACACACACACACACACACACACACACACGCAATTGTGTGGTGTTTTTGTGTGTGTGAAGAAGGGATAGAGAATACATTTCTTTTTTAAATGGATCAGATAGTTACATTAGAGCCTAAATTGGTTGTTACAATCAAGAACTCTTCTCCATTTTTTCACCTTTTTGGTTATTATTTCCATGGTTGTTAATCTCTTACCATTTACGGTTCGATTCAACAATCCGTTTCAAGTTTTCAACTTTCGATCTTTTACTATTCATAACTTGTCTTAAACATAAATTTTAGCATCTTATTTCGACAAAAAACAAATAAATAGGTTTTTTTATTTATTTATATATTTTATAGTCATAAATAGGAATTTTTCGGAAATCTTCATTTTCGGAATTTTTTCGGAAATTTTCGGAATTTTCCCAATTTTCCCGAAAAAAAAAAAAAAAAAAAGGAGGAAAAATTGATCACCGACACAGTAGCCAAACTGCAGAAAGAAACATCAAATAACCAAAACACACAACAGACTCACCAAAGCACACAACAGACTCACAAACACATAATTCCGAGCAACATGATTCCGAGCAACCACATAATTCTGAGCAACATATAACCCAAGAACAGTTCGCATAATTCCGAGCAACAATAATTCCGAGCAACACAGGCTCATCAAATCAACATAAAACAAACAAACACATAATTCCGAGAAAAAACCCAAAAATAATTCGCAATAATCAAACACATACAAGCTTTTCAACATAAACAAACAAAGATTTAAAAAAAAAAAAGAAAATTACCTTGAGAGGAGGGCTGTCGGCGACGGCAACGGATCGGCAGCAGGCGGCGGGATGATCGGCAGCAGCGGCGGAGAGATGGGCTGACGGTGGAGAGCAGCGGCGGAGAGATGGGCGGAGGAGAGCAGCGGCGGACGGCGGAGAGGAGCGGCAGCGGCAGACTGCGGCGGCGGAGGCGGAGGGGGAGGACCCGGCGGAGGGGGGGCGCCGGCGAAGGGGAAGATTGAAAGAGAGAGAGAAACAAATCGGCGGAGGGGAAGAAAATCGGAGAAAATGGGAAAAAGGGGATTAGAGGGGAGGAAATCAGAGGAGAGAGGGGGGAGAGGAGAGGAGAGAGGGAGGAGTGAGGAGTGAGGAGGGGAGAAAATTAATAATTTTAAATTATATTTTTGTAAAAAAGGTGGAGTGAGTTGGGTAATAAATTGATGAAAGTGAAAAGCAAATATAAAAATATAAAATTTATTATATTTGAGGTATTAAATTAATAAAAAATTATATATATAAAAAAAAGTAAGAAACCCGGTTGGACCTCAATTGAACCGGTCCAACCGTGACCCAGTAGCTTGCCTGGTCGATGTCCGGTCCGGTTTTCAAAACATTGCGGCCCTGACTTCTTATTCAATTGTTTGCGATGATAAAAAAATAGACTTGCGACGTTTCTGTAAGCAACGTCGCTAAAGAAAAGCGAGATTTTTTCTATAATTATTTGGCGACCATTAATACACTATCGTCACAAAGAATAATTATAATTCTTTTAACAAAGTATTTTTCGTGCGACGAATACACTATTTTCGTCGCTATGAATAAATATAATTTAATATTTCCTCTTTATTACGCTACGTTTATCCTTATTCGTCGCCAACCCAATAATTTTTTTTTTTCACAATTGCACTAGCGACGTAAAACGTCATATTCGTCGCGCAGGTAAAAAAATAAATTGCAAAAAATATTTTTCATGCGTCGGTTATATAAAAACGTCGCTACGAGAGTGCTATATTATTTTTTTTCCCTTTGCGACGGTTTTTTAGTATTAGTCGCATATTCGCGACGAATACGTTTATCGTCGCGACATATTCCATCGAAATCTTATTTTCAGCTCACTTGCGACGTTTTTAGTCAAAATGGTCGCAAACGAGCGACGATTCGGGGATCGTCGCCCAAAAAAAACGTCGCAAGTGAGCTGTTTTGGCCTAGTGGCCACTGGGCTCGGGTGCGAAACGCAGCTTCACTTTTCCATCCACAGCATTAGGAAGTACCTCAAAGGTAGGGCCTCTTTTCCCATACGTTGAAATAAATTCACTCAACACCGCATCGTATTCAGTAGCTATTGAGTTGAACCAGCGAACCAGGTTTTGGTACTTCTTCGATTTCCTTAAACTTTGCCATCTCAATCCAGCACCTAAAAGAGTTGTCGGGGGGGCAAGTTAGATAACCTAATTACGAGAGACTCAAAATAGTTGATTACTTAAAATCAGAGCTCGATTTCGTAAACTTTACCTTCAAGACCAGTCCACACAGCAACATCTGCAATTGAGAGACTATTACCCACTAGAAAAGTATTTCGCAGCAAATGCTCATCCACAAAACGGCACGCGCCCTCGAATTCCGATCCAACCCCGAACCGAGGCGCATAATCAAGCCATTGATCAATCTGTAAGACCAAACATGTTGGACGATACATATCAGAAAAAAATACTTTACTTAAATAGCATTTTTAACTAATAAAAGGAGTATCGAGAATGCACCCGAGTTGACTCAGAAGCATCCCCTCCGTATATCTCAGAATCTCAAGAGCACCATGCAGCCTCTGCCTGAAAAATCGAGTTACCATCGGAAACAAATTATTGTTTTTTACTTTCTTTTCACAATTAAAGCAATTGAAATTTGTATTTTATAATATCCTCATTAAGTGAGAAATTATCAAAAAAAAAAAAAATTAAAAAATCTCAGAGCAATTAAAAACCTAGGTTTCATAAAGGGTAAAGCTGTTTCTTCTCAGATACTTTTAATTCCAGATCATGAAGCATAATTTATTCAACAAAAAAAGCTAAATTATCATAATTTCTGCTCCAACTCAGTTCAAACAATTGGCGGAATCAAAATTCATCACAATTTTTTAAAATAACTGGACGATTGGGTGAAAAATGTATGACTACATTTAGTATAAAATTTTATTCAGAAAATATGCACACGGTTTAACGAATCGTTATACCCTCGGAGAAAGAAAAAAAAAATTAAGACGAGAATTTACTCGCTGGCAAGGGCAAGAGTCGGCGGAGAGCCACAATCCAGAGTTGGATTGGTGACAAGAGAAATTGCGGCTATTTGTGCGGCGGAGATGACGTGGAGCGGCGGAGAATCGGCTCAGCCGCCGCTTGCAGTATAAGCTAGTTGATTGAAGAGACGAACGATCAGCTTAATACCGTGCTGTAGGGGAAATTTGAGGAACGTCGCTCCGCTCTTATAAACTGGCATATTTAATAAGATAATTACAACCACTTCCTTGAAGTAGTGATTATTTACAACAAAAGAAAAAAAAAAAACCTTATTTTTTAGAAATTAAATCCAGCTCTCTATAGTTTGTAAACTTCTCGCATTCACCCCTACAATTTTTACAATAGGTGTTAATGTAAGAAATCTCTATATTACAGGGGTAAATGAAATTATAAAAAAATGAGGGTTTTTTTTTTCTTGCGTAAATAGACGTTACCTTAGGGGACGGTTAACAATTTACACTATTTAGTTATTTTTGTTAGACAAATCTCACAAATTATAGTGTAGTTAAAGTCCACATATTAAATATTAGGATAAATTGCACTTACACCCCTGTGGTATGCTAATATAACTTCAAAGTCGTTGTGGTATTGGTAATTACAACCACACCCCTGAAACAATTACCGGCTCAAAGATTTTATGTCATGGAGACCAATATGCACTATATTTATTTTCCGCGGGGCCGTTTATTGCTACCATAGACGAAAATTTATGAATCTTAATTATATAAAACAATAATGATTTAAGAAATGTTATGAGATATATGTCATCCTTAGCTCAATGTTTCCTCTGCCAATGTTTGAAACTAATAGTCCGTTAGAACCCTAACAAAATAATTTATCCAATGCGGTATTTCGTTTGAGTTTCTAACAATGTTTCAGGTGGATAATTGTAATTATAAATATTACAAGGACTTTAAAGTTATTTTAGCATACCTTATAGGTGTGTGTAATTTACCCTAAATTTTACTACAAAATTGAAATTTTAATGGCAAACTAGAGTAGTATTGATTATACGATGAAATATGTAGGATTTATGTATTTCACGATTCAACTCAAATTATAAATATTATTCATTATTTTAGGTCTGATTTGTTGTTTTCGCTATAAATCAATTAATAAATATTTAGGGGTTTTTGTGCTTAAGGCTCCGTTTGACATGATTAAGCACTGAATGCTGAATGCTGAATAAGTATCTGAATCAATAAGAGTTGTGTCTGAATGCTGAATATTGAACAATTAAGTCCGTTTGATAACTGAATATCAATAATGATTGAATAATATTATTTTCTTGTTATAAACTTGTGTAATGGTGAAATTATATTTATTAATTAAATTTGAATAGTATATATATAAATAAATTTTAAATTTATAATATTTCATAAAGAATATATTATGACAAAAAATAAAATTGTAGATTAAAATTAAAAGTCAAATATTATATATATATATATATATATATATATATATATATATATATATATATATATATATATATATATATATATATATATATATATATATATATATATATATATATATATATATATATATATATATATATATATATATATATATATATATATATATATATATATATATATATATATATATATATATATATATATATATATATATAAGTACTATCATATTAAATACAATTGCAATAGCAGGAACAACAAATATAATAATAATAATAACTCAAACACACTGTCCGATTCAATTCATTACACATTATTTTTGTTAAAATAATAATTTATTATTGGCTTCAACAATTTATGTTTTCAAAACTTATTCAGATACACATCTTACCGAATAAGTGAATGATTTTTGGCTGAATCAATCAGAGGTAAAATATTCAGTTCAGAGATTCAACCCAAACACACTGAATGAGGTCATGCTTACCGAATAAGAGGAAATTGCTCATTCAGAGGACATTCAGTGGTAATCAAACAGGGCCTAAGTCTCCAACCAAACATCTTTATTATTATAGGTATAGGTCATATATCTCTTTCACCAATAAGCCCATCCTTTTAATATTTATTATAAATAAAGGAAACATTCATGTATATGTCAATATTACCCCAACCCTTTTATACTCAATTCTTAATTGTAACCCCAATTTAATCAATTTTGTCTAGGGGTGAGTTCGGGACGGGATTTCGGGAATTCGGGATTTTCGGGATCGGGATTTCGGGATTCGGGATAGAAATTTTAAATCCCAATCCCGTCCCATAATATTACATCCCGGTAATATCGGTATCCCTAAATATTTCGGGAATTCGGGATTGGGATCGGGAATCCCATATTTTGGCTAAAAACTGAGAAATATTGTTTTTTTTTTTTTCCATTAGTATTATTTTATAAATTATACATTAAACCAACTTGAATATATTATATACATACTATTATTATTGCACTATTTATTTTTACCACAAAATTTGGAACAAATGAAATTTGAATTTTTTTAAAATAAATTGAAACGATATATTATATTGTATTTCTCATCTCCTTGAGGACCTTGACAAATATATATATATATATATATGTGTGTATGTGTGTGTGTGTTTATTAGTTTTTCTTTTATTTTTTCCTAATTCGGGATTAAAATATCCCGATCGGGATTGAACCAATTCCCGAATCCCGATCCCGTATTTGTTCCTAATCCCAATCCCGAATCCCGTAATCCCGAATTCCCGAAGTTTTAATCCCAAATAGTAAAATTCTAATCGGGACGGGACGGGATCCCGAATCCCGATCCCAAAGTCCTAGCCCTAATTTTGTCCACAAAAATTCAATTTTGACCACAAAAATTCAATTTTGACTTTTTTTTTCAAAAACTTTTCTTTTTCAATTTTTTTTGCCGGCAGTCAACGCCGGCCTCTGATGTTGACTTTTCGAATATTTTTTTTTTCTTCCGGATTTTTTCGCCGGTTTCCGGCGTTGACTTTTTTTTTTCTTTTCTTCCAGATTTTTTCGCCGGTTTCCGGCGTTGACTTTTTTTAGTGTTTTTTTAAGTTTTTTTTACGTCCGCCGCTAAACGTTGACCGTAATTGTGTTGTCACTGACAGTAAATTAACGTAATTATACTGTCAATGACAGTTAATTAACGTAATTGTACTGCCGTTGACAATACATTTATGTAATTGTTCTGCCGTTGACAGTAAATTAACGTAATATTATTGTTTTTTATTTTTTGTTATTTTTTTTATTTGTTTACTAGTCAACGTAATTATCTTACTGTCGTTGACAGTAAAATAACTGTAAACACAATAATATTACTGTCAACAATATCAATATTATTATTTTTTTGAGTTTTTTGTTTTGTTTGAGTTATTCACGGAGTAACGTGATAATATTACTGTCTATTATTGTAATATTACTGTAAACACAATAATATTACTGTGGTTGACGGTAATATTACTGTTGTTATAGTAATATTGTTGTCAAGCACATCAATATTATTATTTTGTTTGGATTGTTTTGTTTGTTTGAGTTATTCACGGAGTAACGTAATAATATTATTGTCTATTATTGTAATATTACTGTGTTTGACGGTAATATTACTGTTGTTATAGTAATATTACTGTCACTCACAGTAATATTAATTCTTTTGGCTTTTTATTATGTTTCGGTCAACATAGTAATATTACTCTATTACACAATAATAATGAGTTTTGTTGTGTTAATATTACTATGCTAGAGATTAATATAACAATATTACTATGTTAAACCGTAGTTTAGTTAATTTTACTGTGTTTAACAGTAATATAGTTAATATTACTGTCAATCACATCAATATTGTTGTTTAAACGAAAAAAAGTCACAGAAAGAAAGAAAAGAAAAAAAAAACAATTTTTTTTTTTGAAAAAGTCAACGCCGGAATCCGGTGGGAAAAAAATTTTTTGAAATTTTTTTGGGGTCAAAATTGAATTTTTTGTGAAATTTGGGGTCAAATTGAGGTTAAATTAAGTCAATGATGAAATTGGAGCATATTAAAGTATGATGTGTTATTTTAGTCCTTTATAAAAATCTGGACCATGTATGAACTTATTGATAAAAAAAAATTTTGTCTGTATCTCTTTAGAAATAAGTATCCATTGATGGATTTATTTGTAGGGTCCATTAGATATACACCCCTAGAATGTAAAATATATAGGCATAAGTCCACCCCTAAAAATCTTTCTTTGAGATACACCCCTGGCCCAAAAAAACCCGAAATTACCCCTGAACCCCAAACCCAGCCCATATACGGAATTACACAGATTTCAAAATCAATTCCCAAAT